TTCTACTTCCAAATAGTCGCTCTGGACCTTCCCCTCTCAGTGTTACTTCAGGCATCTGAAATGAAAATGTAGCCTTCCTAACACTAAACCCCGCTCCTTTTACCCCTCAGGAAAATGCCACTGTAAGGAATGAAATCCTGGGCAGGCAAACAGCTGCTGTTTCTAGAAACTCTCAGAAAATTTCCTTCTCCTTTATCTTGAATTTTCTTTGGGGGTGTCAGTTGCGTTGGAAGAAGCGATGGCATCGTTTTTGCAATGCAGGGGATTTACTCCTGCTAAAATGGAGATTTTCCCTCTCCTGGCCGTACTATAAAGATTGGGTCAGTAAATGTATTTCCACCGCCATCACACGCGGGTAATCTTTCAGATCTGAAGAGTTTTGTCTTTTTCTAATCAAATGGCAGGAAGCGTAAAATAGGGTGTTTTTTTCTAGAACTTGAATTGTTTCCTTAGGAAAAGAAAATTCTGATAGAGAAGAAAATGACACTTGAGAAGATGCTTCAGCAGATGATGTCAAGGAACGAAGACAGCAAACGGTGACTAAATGCACACGATAAAGTGTTTTCCTTTCTTTCCGGGGGATTATTTCATGTTGGGTACCAGGCAATGACCTACTCTAAGTTCCTTCTGGGAGCAAAATTATTCATGATGAAAGCAATTGGTTCAAATACTGATTTACATGACTGCTGAAAGAAGCCAAGACAGATGTTGGTGTCCTACACGGTCTCAAGTGTTGATTCTACTTGAATGCTTAGCACTTTTCCCTCCCCCTTGCATGCACTAATTGCTTCCCTTTCCTAATTCTCATGTGGTTGCACTAATTGCTTCCCTTTCCTGATTCTCACGTGGATGCACTAATTGCTTCCCTGTCCTGATTCTCACGTGGAGTCAATGTTGCTTTGGTGACATCGTGCATGAAAATCACCTTCATTATTTATAAATTTATTTATTACTAGCTAGTAAGGGTGGTTCTACCGGACAAAATATGTCCCAAACTATGGTTTTATTTGTTCTGCTCAATAAAGAAGACTTTATATGTCTAGTTCTCTATGAATTACAGCCACGGGTCCTCAGGACCTTCCCGCTAGCAACAAGCTCTTGAGCTGACTGTGGGGTGGGAGAGGGGCTGGGTGGCTCAGTGATCCCTGGGGATTGAATTGGGGGTTCTTCTGCTCTGGCCTGCAGGTGCCTGGATCTCCAGCAGCAGATTTCCACTCTTCAGGAGCAGATTGGCCACCTGCAATGCGTGATCCGGGCCCAGCACCACAGCCTGCGCGGTGTGATACAGGAGGTCAGGAGAAGAAATGGGGGGAAGGAAGAAGCAGTGGGGAGGAGGAAGAAGAAATGGTAGGGGGGAGAAAAAATGGGGGGAAGAAGAAATGGAAGAAAAAATGGAAGAAGGGGAACCACTGGGATGTGGGCATGAGCAGCTTGGTCATCACGCTGCACCCATTTTTGCGCAGCCCGTGGTCATTCGTCCACTTTTCAATATTAAGATGGAAATGGGGTGGTCATGGTGGAGTTGGGGCTTTCAGACAGACCCGAGTTCTCCTAGAGCGTTCCCGGGGGGTGACCTGGCCCCCCACTCCCTGCTGTGCTCCTGAGGAGGACCTGCTTGTCCCAGGGATGCTCCCCCGGTGCTTGGGCTCATGTGAAGCTGCTCCCATGAGCAAGGCCTGACAGATCCTAGGTAGAGCTTCCCAAAGTCACGATACAGCGTGAGCTGTTTTACTGACCAACTGCTTTTCCCTTCGCCCATGCAGCTAAGGCAAGGCCCTGCACTAATTAGCTTTCGTAATCAGGTTTCTGTACATCTGCCAACAAGAGGTAGACTTGTTATCCTACGGAAAACACAACACCGTGTGCGTTGAGAAATTGTTTTATAAATCAATCAATTAGTTTGAGGTTTTTCTACGGGAAAAGACTAGGGACTTGAGCGGGCTGCAGTTCCCCAGGTATGGTGAGATGTTGAACTTTGTCTTTCCATGTATTAAGGTTTCACATCTCTTACAAACTTGGTTTGCTAACTCTCAGGTGGAGGAACTCAACAACGAACTCAGAAGCCAAGATGAAAAAATAGAAAACCTGACAGAGAAGCTGGCGGCCGGCCAACCCAAGGTGAAAGTTTCCAGAGGCGTCTGGACAGAGTAAGTACCGCGGGAGGTGGGACGGAACGGCTGAGCCCGGCGTCCCTACAGGGCTTGGAGTGAGCTGAGTCAGGCCTTGCTGGGAGCAACCGAACTTCATCCTGCAGAGATTGGATGATTCTGTGATTATCTTCTCTATTAAGGAGAGGAAAACCACAAGCTCTGCTACAAACGTAGTAGCTGATGGTGTGATGGCTGCACCCCCAGTCCCGACTCCCAGGCCAGCTCAGGTGGGATGGGCTCAGCATGGCTTGTGATCCATTCAGGATTAAACAGAGCCTTTCCTGGGGGTACAGCCCTGTGCTAAAGTACAGCTGGAGACAAGTTTCTGCTCTTAGAAAAGCTGAAGTCAGCTCCTCCACATGTGTGGCCAAGAAAGCCAACGGCATCCTGGCTTGTGTCAGCACTGGTGTGACCAGCAGGAGCAGGGAGGTGACAGTCCCCTGTGCTCTGCACTGGTGAGGCCACACCTGGAGCGTTGTGTCCAGGTCTGGGCACCTCAATCCCAGAGAGATCTGGAGGGGCTGGAGCGAGGGCAGAGGAGGGCAACGAGGCTGGGGAAGGGCTGGAGAATCAATCCTGTGAGGAGCCAGGGAAGGAGCTGGGAGTGTTCAGGGTGAGGAGGAGGAGGCTGAGGGGAGCCCTCATCCCTCTCTGCAGCTCCTGACAGGACACTGCAGAGAGGCTGGGGCTGGGCTCTGCTCCCAGGGGATCAGGGACAGGACAAGAGGGAACGGCTGGAAACTGCCCCAGGGGAGGGTCAGGCTGGGCAGGAGGAGAAAATGTTTCCCAGCAAGAGTGGTCCGAGAGTGGAAGAGGCTGCCCAGGGAGGGGGGAGTCCCCATCCCTGGGGGGGTTTCAGGGCCGTTGGGATGAGCTGTGGGGGATGTGAGGTAGGGGAGAACTTTGTCGAGTCGGGCTGAGGGTTGGACTCGCTGATCCCGAGGGGCTTTTCCAACCTGAAGGATTCGGGGATTCTGCGATATCTAAGGCCATAGTTACAAACCTCTGACTTATTTCATGGTTGTGCTGGGTTTAAGCCTGGCTTGGGCAGGTGAGGATGTCTGAGTGATCTCCTGCTTCACTCTGCAGCGCCCCACGCTATTTTGGAACGTCCCCTTACCTGCTGCTCGCCAGGCTGAGGAAGCAAGAGAGCTGAAGAGACAACTGGATCTTTGTCTCCTGCCTTTGTCAGAAGGACTCTTCCTGCGTGTTGCAAACCTCTTAACTCCTACAGCCTCTTCACTCCTGCAAAGCACCTCCAGCCCGGCCTGCCTCTCTGCAAAAGGGGGCGCAGAAGTAGTGCTGCAGAGCTGAGCTTAAAAGAAGGAACCTGGAAACGAGGCGAGAGCTGACCGGGGTGAGCTCACGAAGGAGCAAAGCCAGGCCTAGCCGTGCTGCGGGGGTGCTGCACCCCCAGACTGGCTCTGGCTCTGCCCCGCGCAGGCAGCAGCAGGCACCTGCCTGCACAAAGGGGCTCCTACCTCTGCAGAGACTTGGTATAAGGGAAGATTATAAACTCAACCTTTGGTTTAAGCACAGCTCTCGTTTAGGAAAGATTATAAACTCAACCTTTGGCTACCTGGAACGTTGTTACAGTCGCCGCTTTTGCTGACGGAGGATGGAGGTGGAGCAGTGGTCCTGCCCTGCCAGGGGGCCTTTGCTCTCCCCCAGCCTTTGGCTCAGCCTGTCCTACGTTCCCTTTCTGGCCTAAAAAGTCTCTTCCTTTCCCGTAAACCAGCAAATGGTAAGTTTTCTGCCCACGAGGGTGAAGTTCCTCCCTGAGCCTTTCCTGAAAGTCCTTTCGGAGGAGAAAGCAGCTATTGGAGGCGGGGGGAGAGCTGTTTTTTTTCTCCTCCCTAAAGTAGGAGCAATCATTTATTTGAGAGATGGGGCACGACTTGGGAGCTAAACTGTGTCCCCAGGGGAGTAATGGCAGCTTTGCACACTCGTATTTACCTCTGGGTTCTGGGACAGAAGGAATCTGAGAAGAGCCCCGGTCTGTCTTCTAACCCCTGCATGCAGGCAGAGAAGCACTTGAGAAGAAATAAATTAAACATGATCCTTAAATTAAAGCTATGAAGTATCAGTATCCTTTTCTTGCCTAACTTTAGGTAATTCCACAGCCACGGTGTCAGGCTGGGATTAAGCGGGTCTAGGTGCAGATAAAAACTTGGCAAACTGTTGGGTGGTTGCCCGGGCATAGTCAGCACTGAGGAAGGGGTGAGTTTTGTAAAAAGTGCCATTTTCCTGTCAGGTGAGGGCCGGAAGCTGCTGCTCAGCCCTTTTCCCCTCCCTCTCCCCCGGGGATTGCTAACGCTGCGGCGCGAGGCTGCACCTCCGCGGGAGACAGCGGCTTGAAAAAAACGGCCTTTTTATTCTGAAAAGAACAGCGCAGAAACGGAGTCACAGGCTACATTCCTCGGCAGCATTACACAAACCCAGTCACCAGCGAATCGGCTGACGGGACGGTTTGAAGCCACAGGTACTTTGGCACAACGGAGCAACACGAACGGCGGTAAGCAAGCGCCACGGTCCGATCGCGGGGTGTCTCAATAATCAAAACCGGATAGTTTCACCCACACTCATAGCACTAGGCTTAGCACAGGTCTGTTGAAGACAAAACATAAAACATGCTTACAGTAGCAGACCAGAAGGCAACGCTTCAAAGGTAATCGGTACAGGATGCTTAGTGTTTATCCAGAAGGTGGAAGATACCTTAACAAAACCAAAAAAAAAAGAAGCATTTAACTTCCAGAAGTTGAGTAAGATACAACAGGTTTCTTCTAATACACCCTTTGTCCATTAAGCCCTATTGCACGATGAGGATGGGACAACTTTAGGGTTTATTTTCTAAAGTTGTTTGAACCAGGTGACCGTATGGAACAAAAGCACATCGCCAAGAATCAGTTCCTCTGTCGCCTTTTAACTGCTTTAGATAGAAACAATAACAATAAATTAGAAACAGATCTGCCCAGCATCTGGGGGGGGAAAAAAAAACCCAAACAAAACAACAAACAAAACCCCAAACACCACAGAACTTATCCTCTATGGGGGAGAATTTATGTTTAAAGTAGAATTATTAGGCAGGAAAGCTGTGAAAATTTGCTTTTCTCCTTAAAGGTGCCTCAAGCCAGGTCTCCTAGCAGTCAGGTAAAAAATAATTCATTTTTACATCCATTCCACCAGGCTTTTTTGTTTGGGTTTTTTTTTTTCCCCCCTTTTCTTTGTAAGATCAGAGCACGGTCTGAAACTCTGCAGTGTTCACACCCGTATAAAAATAGCAGGTTATTTTTCCGCTTGCTGCTTTTCTTCAGTTACAGTGCCAAGAATACAATCAAATAACAGCTCCAGATTATTATTTTTTTTTTTTTTCCAAAGTTTAGGCTGAAAACATTAGTTATATCCACGGACTGAAACAGCTTGAGGAGATAAAACCTTTTACCTTGAAACAGTCCCAAAGAGTTGCTATAGAGCAGGTATCAAAATGGCATCTCACGCAACTTTTAATAAACTTTCTGATGGGATCCGAGCCTCTAAAATGTAAACAAACGTAGGTATGACAACCCTTTGCACATTCGGAATGTTCAGTAAGGTGTGCAGCCTCCAGAAAAACAGTTAAGGCAGACGGTTTTTATAAAGTTACCAAGACAGCAAGGAAAGGGCAGCTGCTCTCCCGTGTCTTTTGCTACCTCAGCCGTGTGAGCAGGCAGCAAATTCCCCATTCTTGCCTTATTTTTCCTCTTTTAATAAAAACCATGTTTCAGGCACCCAAAACCCCTCCTATTATTATTATTTTTTTTTTCTTTAATGTTTCAGAGAAGCAAACACCTTTCCTCTTGCAAATGTCTGTAAAAATCCACCAAAGGGAAAGACTACAGGAAAGACAAGAATTATTTAAGCCCCTGCTATTGTTTTTTTTGGGGTTTTTTTGGAGTGTCAACCCCTGGGCTGGGAGAGGAGAGGGTCAAGGGGAGAAACCTCTGAGAAATGAGGATGTGCTGCTCTGCACAGGACTTTGGTACCTGCCAGGGCCCTGGCTGAGCACAGTCACTCCCCTCCCAACTGATTTGATTTGGAAATGAGGCATTAGAATAACAAAAAAAACCCACAACATGTTACTAGCTGATCGCAGATAAAAATATTCTGTAAAACGAAAGCAGGAGCTTAAATAAATGTGAAGCCTGACACACTGGCTCTGAAGGGGGATCACTACATGTCAGGCCCTCTAAGGATTTCTGCAGAGTCTGCTTAAAAACTCTGCACTGAAGGACAGTCAGGAATAATCTCCTGGCCTTTTCCCAGTGAAAATAAAAGAATAAAAAAGAGACACTCATTCATATGTGTCTGTGCACAGAGCAGATACTTCTGTGCTGTTATTTTTTCATTTTACACCTTTTCAGCTCCAGTTGTTTCTCCCTGACATCAGCTCCTGACTTCACAGAGATACTCCAGACCCGATTCAGCCAAACACCTACGTGCAAGCTTAAATAAACTTCACAAACTGGGCTCTCTGGTAAACACTGTAAACATTTAAGGGCCCTTTTTTTCCCTTCAGCATCACTTCCAGCCAGGCAGTGCTCCCACAGGTAAATTTGGTTTATTCCTGAGGATGCAGAGTAGCACAGGACCCTGCTCTGGCACTGGCCACCATCTCCCCTTGCCCTAAAAAAAACCTCTTGGAGGTGAGGGCAAGGTCAAAGGCAGAGGAAGAGCAGCACAACAGCAGCTTAAAGACATTCCCCACTGACCATAAATTTCCTCACTCCTCCATGTGTTAGCCCCAGGGTCTCAATTCCCTAAATGGAGCAGCAACACCCAACTCTGGCCACGCCACTATTTAGCAAGGGATAAGGGATGTGTTTCTTCCACCAAGACGTGCTGAGCAAAAGGCTGCAGGGAAATGGAAGGAGCTGCCAGCAGGGCATCACCTACAGCCACAGGTCAGCACTCCAGCACTACCCTAGCGTGGTGTATTAACAATTTTTGAGGCCACGTTTTTACTTTCATGCTTCAAAATACCTGAAAAAGAACAGCCTACCGTGAGCTCTGAGAAGAGACAAGATTCGTAACGCTGTTACGCTGTGTAGGTGAGTTAACTGGGGGACACCGAGAGGATTATGGGAACACATTCAAGAAGCTGAGTGATTTGAGCTGTCTGGGTAAATTATCACAGGCTGGGAGGCTGCTGGAGACGAGGCAGCAGAACTACACAGAGAGAAAAGGAAACCAAAATTATTCTCAGCATTAAGATCCCGCAAGGTGAAGGATGGGTATTACCTTTGTCAGGGCACAGCACTGTGCAGTTCAGAAATTACCACCCCTGCTGCACCAGAAAGTCTGCAGGCAGAACTCTTTACTGGAGGGATACTGCAAAACGGAAAGAAGGTGTTTCTAAAAGGACACAAAAAGAGACTTTGAGAAACCAGCGCCTGGACCGAAATTCAAGATAAAAGCCCACAGGGTTAGAACACCTGCACTGACATTTAAATTTTAGTATCACCCTGGATAAAGTATCTCAGAACCTTGTCTCCCTCTCCAGCCCTGATGCAGGATATCTAGCAGGCTTGCAAATAAGATGTATTTGTGCTCAAATGGAAACGTTTAACTTCCAATTCAAAGATGTACGATCAAATTTTGCAACAGCAGAATCGGGAATCAAGTTGCTGCGCGAGTCAAGTTGTCGTGGGAATCAAGTTGTCGTGGGATGGGGTGAGGCTATAATCCTACCAGAGAGGTTAAGCAAAAGCAAATTCAGTTCCCAGGCTGGTGTCCTGGAGGAATTTATAGGATTGAACAGGTCAAAGTGAAACGTTTCGAGCACAAAAAGGATGAAAGTGCTCGGACAGGTGGGCTCCAGCCAGGGATGTGCTCAGGAGTTCCCCACGTGAAACCTTAGAGGAATAGTTCTGAAGAATAAAAACGGAGCAAAGATCAAAGGATGGTGGAAAGGAAACAATTTTTAGTCACTTTGTTGTCTTATTTTTTGCAACGGGAATTAACCTGACGAACAACAAAAGCGCCAGCAGCCATTTAGAATCCCACATCAAGTTCCCCTTTTTCTTCATTTAATAAAGTGAGAGCTACTCTACAAAACTTCTACCAGGGCAAGAAACACGTTTAAATTTCCCTTCCTTTCCTCCAAAGCTTTGATGGCAAAATCCTTCTGGGATAATGGTTTCATACACATTCCCAGATTGGTATTTTTTTTTAACACACAGAATAATAATCAGTTTATTGTATTAGCAAGTAAATCGAAACCAAGCAATAGAATTTTTACCACAGTCGTTTCCCTTTTGTTCCTAAACAGACCTCTCGAGCGAGGGTCAGCCCTGTGCTCACTAGAGTTTCCAAGACTGGAGCCTTACAGCCCCCCAGCTCGGAAAATTCACATTCCCTGAAGCTCATTTTATGCTACGTATTAAAAAGCAATACAACCAGACTTCAAAGAAAACCCTGAACTTCCAGTCTACCTGAGTATCACTCTACTTTTACCTCTTCTGCCTGGCAGATCTCCTGTTGACCAGCCCAACAGCTTTTCCACCTCTTGAGGCTGTTTCCAGCCTATAAAAGGACCCGCTTTAGACCTGGTTGGGCAGTACACACTATATATAGCCTTTAGGTACAGCCTATCACTTAAATAACCTTTACAGCCTGCGAAGTGAGATTTCTGGCACGGTACTCACAGCTGTTTGGTTACTCACCCGATGGGTCTGCTCCTACGGATGGTACCATCTGCCCTGTTAACATGCCAAATCATCAAGTAAACATCAGGTTTTTTTAGGAGCTGGGCAGAAAAGAAACCCTGTTATTTGTTCAGCAGCGAATCTGGTAAATTCTCCATTTCTGGGAAGCGCTGAAACCCTTTATGAGCTTGCTATTCACAGAGTTTGCAATTTTCAATCAATCAAAGCTGAAATAAATACATGGAAGCCTGCAGTCCTGTCAACCCAACTGAAGCAGCTCGATTTGTAAAGAGATCCATTTACCCTTAAAGTAGCTTAAAGTGCAATAAACACAAACGGACTTTTAACTACCACCTGTATAAAACCAGAACCGTTGTTCCACAAAAAAAAAGGACGGGGTAGACTAATAAATATGCTGTAACTTGGTTTAGAAAATGACCTATACTTATAAATATTTTGATTTTTTTTTTCCCCTGTATTTCTCTTTGCTTGCCACAAGCAATTTGCTATTCCACTAGAACTTGCCTTCACCCACAGCAGCAGCTTCCACCCTCTGCGCTGCGACAATCCTCTGACACGTTCCTTTCTACTCAGCCATATATTCTGGTTTCCTGCCATTCCGATTCCTCACCTCACAGTTTTTCCACTTTTCCCCTCTCACGGAGAATTTTAGAGCACGATTTCCTCTGTTGAAAACCCAAATGTACAGGGGATAAAGCTGCAGAGGTGACTTGGAGGCGTGCTCAGCACAGCAGAGCTTACAGTTCCCTTCCTCCCTCCTGTGTCCTACCCGTGATACGCAGTTATGTGGAGAAAAATAAGAAAAAGGAGAGACGAATATTCTTTGCCGATCCTTAGAAATAGTTTCATAAAATAGAGTTTCTCTCTCTTCCCACACATTACACTCTCTTCTTTACAAACTGTCCCTGCAGTGTCAGAATCCCTCTCCATACTTTTTCCCATTCCCTGCTTGGATTATTGGCAACACAAGCAATGCTGCACAATTCCCTGACTTTTTTAAAATATTTTTTTTTTCAAATTAAATGCCCTACTTCCTCCCCCCAAAACCTATACACACACCCCCACCCTCCCCAACCACCACCTCAGTGATTCAGGGTGGATTCACAGCATTGCTTACTCTGGGCAAGCAATAAAAGTTTTTCTTAATAGGCCACGTAAAAATCTTTTGTATTTCTGCCCTAGAAAACACACGGTCCCTGATGCAGATTAAGGATTAAAAAGAAATAGGATTCTGTGGAAAAAATGGCACAGAGCTAGAAAACCACCCACCTCCATTTTAGTTTCAATATCCAGTGTAAGCAGACAATAGGTTCTTTCCCTCTTTTTTTTTTTCTTTTTTTAAAAAAATAAAGCTACTTTCCTCTATTCAGTATCCTGATCACACACACAAAAAAATAAAGATGAGGGCTGGGGGAACAGGAGCGGGGAAGAAGAGGCGGGAGAGTTTTCCATGAAGACGGCACCTTATCGGGAAGAATCATTTGCAGCACAAGAGAGCCTCACTGAAACACAGCTTTTAGTTTAAACCCAGTTCTTTGGAGCAAAATGCACAATCCCAATAAAACAAGGGAACGTTGCTTCCGTGCGTGGCTCCACAGAGCCGGTTGGGATTTGGCGGTAGGTCGGCCACGTTCTGATGAAATCTTCTCACAGTTCCGAGGGGACGTTTAGCAGGCACATTTTTTCTCCTCTGGTTTCACTGGCTCCAGCTTCCCCGAGCTGCCACCGTTGGCTGTGTCAGAGGCCTGTGTCTTGTCCACGCACTGCTCCATACGCTTCATTATCAAGTCCAGGAGCGTGTCCACTGCCTTCTCCACGTTCTGTCCGGTAGCAGCACTCGTTTCGAAGTACGGTATGCTGCGGGGAAAAGGAAAACCTGTGCTGGAGAGATCTGGAAGACAACCAAGACTCGACTATCTGTAACCCACACAGTGCAACCATCAGCGGTGGGTTTAGCAGCCTCGAGCTGAACAGGACAAGACTTTTGGTTTGCCAGGACACAATTTCACAGAATCCTCCGGGTTGGAAAAGCCCCTGAAGCTCCTCCAGCCCAACCAGGACCCTCCCCCTGACCGTTCCCAACTCCCCCAGACCCCTCAGCGCTGGCTCAGCCCGACTCTTCAACCCCTCCAGGGATCCCGGGGACTCCCCCCTGCCCTGGGCAGCCCATTCCAACGCCCAACAGCCCCTTCTGCACAGAAATCCTTCCTCAGAGCCAGCCTGACCCTGCCCTGGGCAGCTTGAGGCCATTCCCTCGGGGCCTGGCGCTGGGTCCTTGGCTCCAGAGACTCATCCCCCCTCTCTGCCCCCTCCTGGCAGGGAGTTGCAGAGGGCCAGGAGGTCTCCCCTCAGCCTCCTCTTCTCCAGACTGAACCCCCCCAGTTCCCCCAGCCGCTCCCCAGCAGACCTGTGCTCCAGACCCTGCCCCAGCTCTGCTGCCCTTCTCTGGCCACGTTCCCTTGCTGGGCAGAACCCAAACTCCTGTTTCTAGCACAGGGTGGCACAATGACACAAGCTAAAAAAAAGGCCACGTTGATTTTTAAAAAACTTATCCTGGCATTTTGACTTCAAACTGTACTAACATCAGCACAAACCTTGGCTGAAAAAGTCTTTCAGGTAACCAGAAAATCAAATTTAAAAGAGAAACAATACAGAAAAATCTCAGGGACCACAGAACATACTGGAAATTTTTTTTTTTTTTCCCCCTTTTTTTTTTCCAGGCAGTTACAGCTGTCACTGTTGAACATTCCCTGTAAGCACTATCTCCCTCCCTTCCTTCCTACTTGTAAGCACAACTGAGCTTAGCTGCTTCCCTTCCAAAATCCCCTTTGACTCCAGAATATTGCCTTCCAAGTCATCTTTTTGCAGAAGAGATTATAAATTGCTTCAGCACTTCCATCATACGAAATCTGGCATGAGCTAACTTCTCCTCAGTATCACAGTTCTCCTAACCTGGCTGCAGACACTTCTCTAATATCCTTTGAATATTTTTAAGTCGGATTTGCATATTACTTCTCACAGTCTCTCGGGTCATCTTCTGCTGCAGGTGTAATTCTCTCTGTCCACTAAGTTAAAAAATACATATTCTTTTTGCCCACAGCACTATTTACTAACTATTACACAACAAATTTATCCTGTTACAGGACACTCTGCTGGTGCTATTAGTGCAAAGAAATGTAGAAGGCTCACTAGAATGAAAAAAAGGACATTAACGGGAAAACCAAATAAATTCAGTGCCACTGTACACTTAGAATCTGACGCAAATCCACAGGTGTCTCCATTTTCAAACCAGAAAAAAAAAAAAAAAAAAGGGTTTTAAACATTGTTAGTTCTTCAGGGCACGACACTGAGCGCGTATCTGCCTTCGGTACGCTCTGTCCTGAACTCTCGGGACAAGACAACATCCCAAGAATGAAGTTTTCTAGCAAGAATGTTTTGTTTCAACCTCGTTTCTCACGCTGGTAGCTTTTTGGCCAAACTACCAGAAGAGTGTGTTTCATTTTAGCTGTTTCCTATTCAAACAAGGTGATCTGGAAGTGTGGCAAGCTGGGTATCCCTGTAGGTGTCTCACCAGTTTATAAGTACACTTGCAAGCATCTCTAAGGCAGTCATCAGCTACACCTACAACAGTTAGAGACTAAACTGAGCTTCTGTCATAATTTGCTTACCCGTATTTGTCTGCCAGGTCTTTTGCTTGCCTTTCGTTTACCTCTCTTTGGTCTGATAAATCAGCTTTGTTACCAATTAAGACAATGTCTGGATTCTCACAATATGCATTGGCTTGCAGCTGACCTAGAAGCAGAAATAAACACGAGTTAAGTGAATGCTGGAAACGCCTTAGAGATCAAGATTGTTGACAAAATAATTCAAAATACCTTTCTTACTCTTCACCTCAAAATATCCTGGACTAACCACTTCGTGCCAAACACATTTCCTTGTTGTATGCTTAACTTGCTAAGGGGGATTTTTCAAAATGGGAAGTAGAAATGATACTAGAAAATTATTTCCAGCCTTTATTTTATCAACATAACAAGACTTAACCGCAGCGAGGTGCACTAAACACAGTGCTTTGGCAGAGGAGAACCTCCACCAGCCAGAACTTTTATTCTACAAGACTCAGAAGGAGATTGTGGAAGCACAAACAACATCCCACGTCAGCTACAAACGCAGCTCTTCAGAAGTTGAGGGTAAAATCCTCAAGTGTGTTTTTCTCTTGGGTATACTCCATGGTTTAAATGCAGGTTTATCCATTTGAAGAGCCAGGCACGAGTAGTGTCCACAGCCTCACCCCTCTTAAGTAATTGTATGAAGCCATTTACTTAATATTTTCCTCAATCCTGAGGGGCCTGACTTGGAAAGGTGCAGCATACACTGAAGCAATGAGAGACTCGGCTTGGTAAGCAGTGGAAGATTGTGATGAGAGGGATCGTTCAGTGGGAGGAAGGAATCTCTGAAGAAGACGGAGCTGTTTTCGCAAAGCTGTGTGGATTCTCACGTTATCCCCACTTCAGCTTGTTTGCTGGAAACCTGCCAGCTGGAAATGTACTGGCCTCAGTCCTTCCAGCACTCTAAACACTCTCAATTAAAAACAAACTTTAAGAATTTAACGTTTGTTTCACTTTTAGTCTAGCCCTTGTCTGAAGGAAAACCAACAACAAGCAAACATTATACGCTTTCAACCCAAATCCTCAAAGCCCAATCTTAATTTAAACCTCAAAGCAGACGGGGGGGGGGGGGGGGGGGG